TATCGACAACGTTTAATTCTCAGCTACATTCTGTTGAATAAAAAAAATTTAAGCATTCTGATGTAATTTTATGTGTTGTCACAGGTGTACCTAATTAAGTTTTTTTAACTGATACTTTCGAAAAGGTAACACAATTGTTTGAGGTCAGAAAAAATAGGTATCACACGCAACCATCAGCAATAACATACAGTATTTTGAGATATAGACTTATACGTATATGATTTATCGCGTTTTTTTACCAAAAACTACCAATATCTCATTGAAGATGCATTTTTTCGAGGAAAGTTTCAAATAAAAGTTGTTTAAAATTAAATTTTCTACAAAATTGCTCCTATGAAAAATTTCGTCAAACCTCGGAAAACTACATAAGACTTTCGAAGAATTTCCTGTAATTTTCTTCTCTCTAATTAACTTTTGTTATTTAAAAATGAATTGACCATTATTTTGGCCCCAAAACATTAATTTTTACATAATCTGTACTTCATTTAAAGAATATACTGGAAAACTATTGGAAAAATCGAAATTTTTCATAGGTGCAATTTTGTAGGAAATTTAATTTTGAACAACTTTAATTCGAAACTTTTTTTCGAAAATATGCATCGAGATATTGGCAGTTTTTGGCAAAAAAAACACGAAAAATCATATATACAATATGTCTACATTTCAAAATACTGTATTTTGCTGGTGGTTTCAAACCAGCGTTGCCAAATTTTTTTCGGGCAAAGCGGGATTCTTTCGTCCAAAAACGGGACATACTAAGGGTTTATATAATTGATGCCTAAAAAAAAAAATCTCCGGATATCTGGGAAACAAATCGATGTCTAAAAAAAAAACATGTTTTCTGACTTTTTGACACCCCCTATCTCTTTATGGAAGCGTTCTAGATAAAAACTTTATAGGAAAGACTCCCCTTAAAATTCACCAAAGAATACGAGGTTTCATTTTTGGTCACCGTTTATGAATCACCCTGTATACTGCAAGATTCATAACAAAATTTTAATTCAGTTGACAGTTCAATAAAGCCGGCTAGGTTTTTAAAGCTTTATAAAAACGAAAGCATTCAAATAAACAGCATACTATATGCCTACACAATCCACAGTTTCCGCTAACAGAGAATTTATTTTAACACGACGATTAAAGCCGTGGGCGTGTGTTGAATGTTCCGGAAATGTACAACTTCAACTCACCTTACATGTCTCCCCACGATAAGTGAAAACGCCGATTCGTCGATAAATATGGGGAAATGCTTTTCGAAGATAATTGCTTTATCACAACTGTCGAATACGTGGGATTCCTAGAATGACTAACGGTGACGAATATCAACAAACGAGAAAGTAGTTCCTCAGTCAATTTAACGATTTCACATTTTCAAAATAGTCGCGAAAATGCCAGTTTTAAAACAATAGCGAGCAAAAAAAAAGTTACAAATCATTGGCGTACATCTTGATAAATATAACGTTGTTCCACCTGTCTTTGCATAAAAAATAATAACCTCTAAAATAATGTAATTGTTGTCTCTGCGAGTTTAAATGATAAACAGTCAATTATGTCAAAGGACATTGCACCGAAGAAACGTCCGCATTGTGCAATTAATTTATATCTAGAGTTTGTTACAACAATAGATTAGGTTGACATTTATTCCGCTTGGCATTAAACGCTAGGTAGAATTACAATAAAATAAATCGAGCAAAGAATGGCGGCGTAGCGGTATTGTGATTCTAATCCGTAAATATTTATTGACGATTCATGCTGCTAATAAATGAGATAACTTTATTGCCTCAAACACGGGTATTATCTCCATAAAAAAATACATTATCAAAATATTTTAATAAATAAGTTCGTTTACGGATACTTAAAATATTGATAGCCGTTTCAAATGAACACATCTTGACTCTTAAACTAAAATCTCTGAGGATATCAGATGGAGAGTACTGAAACGTACTAATTTTTCGCCTGGGGTATAGTTAACGACTAAACTTATAACAATTTAAACCAATATTTGGAATCAAAACAAATAACAAAAGTGTAAAATAAATTGTAGCTCTGTGGATAAGTTAAAATTAATGGTAACTCAGACAGTGACGAAGAATTTACGAATACCTCACGGGATTTGCAAGAGAAGCGCTAGCAATATTAATTTCTCTTAATTTGTTAACACCTACAAAGTCAGGACAACGGTACGAGAAGTATTATGAATTGTTCAATAACTGGAAATGGAATAAATAAAGCCAAAAACTTGTAAAAACTTGTAAAAATGTACTTGTTGTATCTTTTTCAATTTCAACACGATGTAAATATCTCAAAAATCAGTGGCTTTGAAGATTTGGTTCGTCTTTTGGCAGTAAAATGATCCAAAGAATAACCTATATCTAGTTAGAAAACAAGATGTCTAAAATAAATATAATTAGCTACAAAATCCGTCTAATGAAATCAGCGTTGTTTCTATTTAAATGACAATAAATGGCACTAATAATTCGATTAATAAAAATAAGCAGGTAACTCCTGGAAATACATTGTGACCCGTTTCAAATGGACACACCCTTTCAAAAACTTACTGTGTCAAGTTAGATAGAAATTCGTTAGCGAGTTTTTCATTTGACTACACCACCCCCCTCAACTGGATTTGTACCAAATTTCGTGAACATGGAGTTTTTTAAGGTGTAACTTTAAAGAGTTTTCCATTAAAAACGGGTCTACCTTATAATAAAACTTCTTAAAAATATACAACGCACCCTCTATAGTGTAGTTTATCCCAATTTAGTGTTAATCTGTCAATAAAGCATAAGTACTGGTAATATACACAATATCCAAATACATTTTTATAAATTTCACTTATAGAAGATGGTACTGTAGGTCATAGGGTTGTAAAATTTGGGAACTAAACTAGGTAGGTAGGTAAATCCCAAGAATGGTAAATCCTACATTTTGACATTTATTCTGTGCAGGTACCCTTCGAAAACCAACCTGCCCGCAACAATTTGTTTATTCGACAATGATTAAACTCGTTATTTGTTTCATAATTTAAATTCCAACAGACGCGAACCAGACAAATTTAAATTAAAATAGGTATCTGGATATGAAAAATGTGACCTTGAAATATTTTTTTCATCCAAACCGCTACCACACTACGTGAATGTTAAATAGTTTACTATAAAGAAATGCCTAACGAACTGCGTTGCAATGTAGTTGGCGAATGTTGTGAAATGAAAAGGCTAACAATGAATAAAAGGTAGGTACCTAACCGTTGCAATTTAGCCAGAGGCACTTCTTCTAAGCATGCCATGCCAGTGGACTGTCGACATGTGGAACGGGATGGAACCCACACCCCATTTAACAGCTGTCTGTAAGTCGAATTAAAGCATATTCTCCTACTTTAAACCCGTCTCCGAAACTTCTGTTTAAACAATGCGATTTAAATACGCGTCCCTGTTTAAACAATACACATTCCAGCAACAATGACAAAGAAATTGCCAAGAAAACATCGAGCTAGGAAGTTAAAACGAAGAACATCGCATGACAGTCCGCTAAACATGTTCAAATATTTGCATTGCAATTGTAACATGATGGAATAATTCAAACAATTTTAATTGCCAACCGAAAACATACTGCGGATTCCAAATATGCTCAAAAAAACCGGTAAGCAATCGCCTGTAATTTACATTAAAGATCTGGAAAACTACCAGGAATTTCACGTTTAAATTCGGTACAAAGCTGAACGAGTACATTTTGAATTAGGTTTAATTTACAGATATATTTAAAACTCACCTGATAAACCAGATATTCCAAAAAAATTGAGCACTAAACTCAATATCACACTACAGTGCACTAGACGAATCAACTTTTCTACAACTAAAACGCGCACAATCAGAAATCAAGATGGCGAGTACCCCTCCGAATCGGCAAAATGCTACTTTGTTATTGGTCCATTTAATTTAGGACGCTTTGGCATTACCAACATATTAAAAAACTAGCCCCATATGAATATTAAGGGTGTGGTTTTTAATTTATTTATTAACAAATTCATTACTACGCAAATATTGTTCTCAGAATTAAAAACAACTACATTAAGTATACTGCTACATGGAGATAAATAGGAAGGTAGGTATATTCCTAATTCTATAATATTCTTCAAATTTAACAATTGAACCTAACTTTTCTAAATAAAATAATTTGTGTTTAATATTATTAGATACATAGTTTACATACATAAACACAACTCTCTTATATATTTTTTTATTTGAGGTATAAATTAAAACATATTTTTTAAATATGGGAAGACGAATACTTATTCAATCATTATTCGCCAGAGCGCCATCTGTTGGAAATAATTTTAACACCTTACATAGAATTCTCTTAGCGGTGCGTTAAAGTTATTTTTAAAGCGTATAGATGGCGCTAGCAACATTCATTTTACATATCAAAACTAAATAAAAAATCTGGTAAATATACAAGTATTATTTATTTGTAGCATTTTCTAAGTTTTTGATTTTATGGGTAGGTATTAGAACAGCTACGTTACAGGACTAAAGAATAATTTTCTGGTTGCTTATAAATGTTCAAAATTTGATGAAAATCAACGAGTCAACGAATTATATTTTGTATTTTTTTTATTTAGATTCCGATTATTTATTTTTTATTAATGTAAAGATTAAAGATTAGGATATTTTTAAAAAACCTCGAAATTTCAAAAGGAATGTTATGAATTAAAATCATGCAAATAATTGTAATGTTAGTTTAATTGATTTTATGAGATTTTATTTATTTATAATATACCTAATTATAATATATCGTCAATTCTGTAAAAGTATTCCCATTTTATAAATATTTGTCTAGATAAAGCCAGAGGTTATTGTAATCGAAGACCTTAACAAACCGATATTCAGAATTTCAGAATAGTAAGAACCTGATGCATTTTATTAATAACACTCTGGACATTTCGATTTAGTTAATAAACACTGCATTCTATTTATGTCTTGACCAAAATTAAATGCAGCTGGCAAGTGACCAAGTAGGAAACGGCATTCCTACTGCAATACCTATCTGCCTCAGGGCAGTCATGTCCATCACATATTATCATATTTATTATGCAGTTGTGATCTAATAAGATTTGTTCTGTGCGAAAATGAAGATTGTGCTTCAAAATGTGTTGTGGCTGCTGTTCTTCGTCGCCTATCAATATTTCTGCCTGGCCAGTGAATCCGTGACAATAGGTAAGGTTTTCCTATTCTGAATTGTAATAGTTATTTATGTTATAAAGGTCATAACAGTGATTGGGGTACTAGCCGTGGATATTTCTTGCACGATGATTTTTGTGATCCCAATTACATACATACCTATCTTTATTTGTTGGTTTCAACATTTAAATTTGAATAGTTGCAATGCAATGACACTAACATTCTTTATTCAGTTTCAAATCGTTTAAAAACAGTAAATCTATCCATTGTTTCATTGACAGCTATTGGACTGGTTAAGGTTAAAATATATCGTAGGTTATTTTCGGTAACAACTTCTTTTCGTTTGGAAATCTTGATTGGTCGATTCAGTAATTTAACTTATATCTATTATTATCTGTCACTTTTAAATATTATAGCGTCTCTGTTCATTCAAATATCAAATTACTGTCGTGTCATTGTCACAACCTGCAATAAAGTACATATAAAATAAAAGCAAACAATGCTGCAGTTTAGAGAATAGCGTTTGGTTCCGTTGTAAAACAGAACTTTTTTCAAACCATTTACAGAACTATAATTGTTATTTTTCTGTGGTCGAGTAGTCCAAGCATTATAGAGAAATGCTTACAGAAGTTATTACCTGGACAAAAAAAATATAACCGTATAGAAAATTAAATTTTAAATTGAGTTTCTTGTTCTTTAAACTCGATCCAATCTGGCGAACATGGTTAAAAAAAATTGCAAAGTTGAAAAAAAACGGTTTTTCTAAAATAACTAAAAAAATATAGCACGGATTGAAAAATTTTAAATGAGAAAGTTGTAGGTTTTAAAAAGATCTATCGACCGATTTTTTGAAAGTATCGATTGCTTTGTTACTTTTCGAGATATATCGAAAAAACCGTTAAAAATCTTCTCTTTTCTCTTCTTCTATAACTCGTTTACATTTACGTGCCCATATTTGCTATTTACTGCAAGCATAGCCCGCGGCAAGCCAAAAAAGTA